GAGGCAGGTGGAGAGCGAGCACCAGGGACTGGGAGGGAGGCAGCAGTGGCGGCATCTTCTCCCCCAGAGGCAGCTGCGGCAGCGCTCGGGGGAAGTGGTCGGTCCCCAGGCGCTGTGAGGGAGCCCTGTGAACAATGTGGGGGGGGGAGTAGGGGGCAGCTGTGGGGTCTGACAGGGAGCCCCGTCAGTATTCACAGATTTTGTCATTCACGGGGATCTCTGGAACGTATCCCCTGCCAATGGCAAGGGTCTCCTGTATTTGAAACATAGGTAGCAATACTCTCTAAAGATCACAGCCAAATTGAGCCTAGTTGTGCTAGGCATTGTGCAAGCATAATAGATGACTGGCCCTGCCCCAGACTGTTCTGTTTTAGTATCTGAAGTGAAAGTAAAGCTTTTAAAGTTTCCCAGTTATCACTGAGGTTCAGCTATTGACGAGTGCTGTTAATTGCAGGCAGCTTGTTTCCATAGCTGCTGCTTTGCTTTACAGGCTGCTTTTGAGTTGTTTTGTACTTAATAATGTAAATGGAAGACCTTGAGGAACCTCCAGTACCTGGCAGGCCAGAATAACAAAGGGTTCAAAAGCTGAACAAAACTGTGGAGATACCAAGAGAGAGATGAAATAGGACTCCTCAACTGACTCCCTGAACCTCTGTTTTCATTGTTGTATCTTGAGTAAAGACTGTGCTTTGTCCTTTTTTTGTCATGAGACTGAATTATGTTTTCTGTTTTGATCAAGTTTTAAACAAATCTTGTACAATAATCTAATTATTAAGTGGCTCACTTCTGGTCTTGTTTTGATATAGTATAGTAGAATGAATAGTGACTAGTGGGTCACTGTGCAAGGGGGAGACTGCATCCAAGCATCAGTCTATCTTGTATCCGTGAACAGTTCAAGTTCTTGGGTGAATGCAAGGGAGCTGGGTTGCAGTTCATCTCCAGTTAAAAGTGCATCTTTTGTTTCAACACTTTTTGCAGAACAGCCACATTCATTCCGCCTACAAGATTCAGGAATTTACTTTGTGCAGATTCTGAAACAGTTAGTATATGCCTAGACACGTTAAGTAACATTATCTACTGACGTGTTTTGAAACCCAGTAGTCCACTTTAACCAGCTGACAAATGTGAAAATACAGCTTTCTTTGACCAGCTGCAGTGTAATTTTAAAACATATTGTTTACATGTATTAGTTAACAGAATTTCATAAAACATCTCATCTCTAATCTAGCCATACCTGGCTCATACTATGCAGCACTTTAATCCACTAATTAAAGCTTTGTTGATTTCAGTTGGACCATTCAAAGAACAAGTCTACTGTTTAACAGTAGCATAGCTAGGGTGGAGCAAGCAGGGAATCAGCCCCAGGCATTTACTGTGCGACAGTGCCAGAATCCCATTCCTTCACCCAGGGAGTTGTACTATGGCAGGGGTAGCTCTTCACTACCCCTGCCCAGCCATAGAAACAGCCCCACACCCAGCAGTGTGGAATGGGGTTCCCCACCCCTCCCCCAGCAAGTTTTTTCACAGTAGGCACAGCCTTGCACCCAGTAGCATCTCTGGGTAGGGAGGATGGGGCCCCAGAGGTAGCTCCCAGGAAGCTGGTGCCATGTAGCTATGTCAGACTCTCTCTGTCCCTGCCACAGCTGTCAAGCCTCTCTACACAGGGAAGGCAGCATTAGCAGCAGCAGCAGCTGTGTTCCTTGTGCAGCAAGCCCTAGCAAGTAAGGCTTCCCTTTCCCTTACCACCTCCCACACCTAATCTACAGTGGTCAGTGTACCACCCCCTCCACATACCCTGGGCACTAAGTGAACTTGCTATGCCTCTGCCTGGAATGTTGAAGGGTGAAAATATGTTTTTTTTATAAACAAAGTGAAGTTTTGCAGTAAATCAAAGCATGTTCATGAGATTGCTTTGTAGAAATTTAGGACTGTCCCAAAACTTAAATTTAGATGCAACTCTCCTACATTTATATCTTTTCCCTCTTCTTCATATGAAGGGAAGACATCATAGACATTATAGTGCAAGTATTAGAATACCCTTTAATTATAGTAATGCAAGTTGCACCATTTTATTTTTCCATATTGTATATGCTAGTATAGTAAGACTAGGGTAGTGTTTCTTCATTTTTTTAGACTTAAGGCAGCCCTTTTGAGACTCAAGCCACTCCTGGGTCTTAATCATTTTTTGACTACAGAAAAATAATACAGCAGCAATCTGTTGCAAAGAATTCAGCAAGACCACTACAGGCCAGAATGTTTTTAATGTGATGGATTCCCTATGAAAACAGTTAAAAATTCATGTTTAACCTTATTCAGGAAGAAAAATAAAAAGACCATATTTTATCATGTATAGATATCACCCCAAAATAAGATATTCCCCTTGTTTTTGAATGATAGAATAAAGGAAAAAAGTTTTCCCCCCAGAGTTATGGCTGCATAGAGCAAGGATAGAGCCTAATTTTCAGCTGACTCATCCTCCCTTCCCTGCTTAACTAAAATCTGAAATCCCAGCTGCTGTTGAAAACTGGTCTCTGTTGGTGGAGCTATAATTTTGAAATGAACTAAAGAGTCTCCAGAGCTGTGAAATAGGAAAAGTGACACCAGGAGCAACTGAGCAACTATCAGACAGCAAAGTTGCCCTAAGAAAGGTCAGATAAATTAATGGAACATCAAGACCATTCAAAAAAGAGAAATAATCATTTACACATGTGGAGTGAAGAAGACTGAGCTGTTAAGTCAACTGAGTGTCTTAACTGCCTGAATAGAAATGCCACACTGCTGCTGCACTGTGTACCAAAAATCGATTCATGTAGTTTTATCCTGGACAGAAAATCTGATTTGCACAACTACTGTAGACTCCCCTCAAAATACCCCTTTGTTCATTCCTTAATTTTAATGGTCAATAGGTTCTTCACAAACACTTTTGCTGTTCCTTTCACTGATCATTTAAAATATGTTTCACTCGTCACTATAAACCTGTCAACTAAATGTCAGTGGTAGAATGTCGACTCCTAAGGGAAAGGAAGATTTGTGCATGCATTTAACATCTAGTGCAGTGGGACCTACAAAGTCATATTGTACTAATGCATAGAGGCACTGATCAAAATAATTACTGGGATTTTTTTTTTAATGGGGGAATATATACTCTATTTGGTATGCTTTCTTTCTGCGCCTTTATAGTAAACTGGAACAACAACATCCTGCTACTGAACAGACATGCTGTTTAAAGTTCTCCCAATGCCTTTGAAGCAGTACAAACTGCAAGGGTGCAGATGTTTATGGCTGAACAAGCACTTCAAAATTGACCCTCAAAAAAGAGGAACATCCTTGAAGTGCTTCATTTTTAAATGCTGTCTGAAACGCATGGACCTCTAAGCAGAGCATAGCAAGAGGTTGTTTGGTCCCCTGGCATCTCGCAGAGCAGAGGGAACAGTCAGTGAGCACTTTCCTGCGTGTTCAGGTGTCCTTAGGAACCTCCAAAGGCAGAGGCATGCAGGGATACCTGCTCTCCCACCTTTTGGCTGGAGAACACTGCCACTGTGTGCATTTATGGTCATTTTGAAGTGTTCAGGGGTGGAAAACCACATAGAACACGTGTCTGCAGTGTAGAAGGGCTTGCAATTTGAAGCACACTAAAGGAGCAAAATTTGGAACATGTCAAATGCATGTCTGTTCACATCATTACTTGGTCTGAAACAGGTGAATCATTCCTTTTTCTGTGAAGTTTATTTCATTTAATCAATTAATAGGCTTATATTGGTTTCATAACTCACTGAATATTCCTAAACTGTATTATGTCTCTTTCCTGCCATGGCAGGGGGTCGGACTTGATGATCTGCTCAGGTCCCTTCCCACCCTACCAACTGTGAAACTGTCACTCTTATAGTTGCTATTTATAAAAATGTATTCTTTTTTCTAAGTAAATTGTAAATTCCTTCAGATATAATTTGAAGTGCACCTTCTGTTATGTAGGCACACATCAAATTAGTCAAGTCCTATTTTTTTCCTTTTTGTAAAATGGCTTGTGTGCTTTTACAATGATCGACTTAAACATAGGTGAAAGTTATGTTCTAGAGCTGCAGCTGAATTCCTGTGTCATAAAAATGATTTGGTAGTAGTAACTTCTGTCATATCATTACACTTTCCTTTTTGTGTTCAATTTTAAATAAGTAACACATTTTTCTTAACTTCATTGTTTTTATTTAAGCTTAATTACTAGTAAAAAATTTTACTGTGATAAAATTATTTGAGTATGGAACAGTTTTATGGGTTCATAGGTAAATCTTTTAAATACTATAATATTCTGTGATGAGCACCCTGACAAGATTTCAGGTGCACATATTGAGATATTGAAAAACTTATGAAAAATTAATGCATGGAGAATGAGTCTTTGTTTGCTTTTTGTTATTTATAGGATTCAGTTCAGATTAGAGGCTATTTTCAAATCTGTAATTTGAAAGAGTTAAAAGACTGCTCTATTGCTAGGTTACTAGGCAGGAGAAAAGAGATCCTATACTGAGAACTTCTAAGCCACGTGGCAGAAAGGCAAGTTTTAGCAGGAGAGTTACTGAAAAACAGGTTTTACCCTGACCTGTTCTGCCAGTTATAACAAGCATCCATATTGCGTATAAGAGAATAAAATAAATGTTTTTGTTTCTCTGCCTACTGGTCAGATTTTGAAATGCTGGCTAGTCAAAAGGAAATTGGGAAGAAGAATATGTGGAATACAAGAAGGTCATTAACTCCGGTTGTTTGAGAGTTTAGTACCATATTCTGTCTGGCCATACAAAGAACCTTTTTCAGTAGTACATATTAAGTGCTAATGGTATTAATGCATCAGGAGGAAAATAGACCCTTCCAAAGCATACTGCTTTTATCCTTTCAGTATGAAAGGCATGTTGATCTTCACAAAACAAAATTCTGGATCAAGTTGTGGTATTTCTGTTTTAATATTAACCAACTAAAAGGAATTACAACCTTTCTACTTCCATGTTTTTTAGGTGGTTTCAAACACCATCGCAGGTTTTCTATCATGCAGCCACTGAACATGGTGGAAAAGATGTCTATCCAGGGCAGTGCTTATGGGAGGGCTGTGAACCTTTCCAGCGGCAAAGATTTTCCTTCATTACCCACTTACAGGTACAGATTTTTCTCTATTTTGTAAAATAAAATGTGTAATTCCTTTAAGGGTGTTTGCATACATTTTCTCTCTTTTTTCCAAATAGGATAAGCACTGCTCCAGAGATGCTCTGCTTGCAGGATTGAAACAAGATGAACATGGACAAGCAGGAAATCAGAAACCTCCTAATAAGTAAGAGACCTAAACCTAGTTTCCTAGCAAAAACAGAGGGATAGTCAGAAATCACTGAAATAATTTTATATATTTATAATTTGATTTGTCAAATATAGCTCTGGGTGCAATATAGTATTGTAATCTAATATTCAGGTTACAAGGTCATGCTGGCAGTGATGATAAAAAGTAGACAAGAGATCAGAAATTGTGACATCTGAGGAAAAGTCACAAGTAGCATGTGAAACACAGGTGGGGAAAAAAGTTTAGTAATTGGTGTTCCACAAGTAATTGAAGGTGGAGTGTGCACCTAAACTGTAGGAATCATTGATTTTAAAGATGAGTAGAGTTTTAGTAATGCAGAGGAATACTGTTTGTGCCTGCTCTTAGATTCTCCCATCTAACCAGCACTATCATTTTATTATAGTAAAGTGGCAGCTGCACTATAATTAAGGTTGAGTGTCATTTCCTGTGTACATATTTAATAACTATTCAAAATGTTCTAAAACTACAGGTGACTTCAACTGTTTACATTTTTCTGTGCCTTGTGGAGATTTTGGAAGGATTAGTGGTTTAAGTGTGCAGTTACAAATTTTTACTGTGCAAGTATTTTCAACACTAGATGGAGGATAAAATATTCCAAGGTAGGGTAACCAACCCCCAGCTTGCCTCCAGAACCATAGCAGTTGGCTTACCAAGGCTGCCACAGGTTAGGAAATTTGGTGGTGCAGGAAAAATAGCAATTAATACTCTTACCCCTCCCCTGCTGTCAAATTACCAAACCCTACCTGGTCAGATCAGGGCCAGACCACACCCCCTTGCCCATGCAGCCAGACCAGGGCCAAACCATGTCCCTTTTGCACAGTTGGATCAGAGCCGGGTCCGCTGTCCCTGCCATGCAGCAGGTTTGGGCCCCCACCACACCAGATTTTGCCCGTCAGTCAGATCCAGCATGCAGATGGACTGGGCACCACCAATGTGGCCCACTGGGTTAAAATGTTGGACCCCACCATAATGAAATCATTGTGGACAATAGGACTGTTGTGTATGATTTTTTTTTTTTAAATCACTGGGTGGTTTGGTCTAGGGACTTCTGATACAACGTCTCTCTGATGTGAGCTGCTCTTTACATTCAGGTTCCTAATCTTTGGTTCAGAGCTAGGGAATGTTGGGTGCTGAAGCAGTGTGGAGTTGGAAGGTCCAGGGATAGGGGCATTTGCCCCTTGATTAACTTTTGTGCTTAGAGCTGCGGTCAGACAAAGCTTATAAGGGACGAACATATTTCAGGTCATTGACCCTTATTGGTCTAAGACAAATGTATAGCAGACTGAGCCATGTTGTCTGGCTTTGGGGTTCATGTACAGGTGCAGCAAGAAGGGGTTGGGTCCACTACTGAAATTCAGGGTATGGAGCCTCATTGGGAACGTGTGTTGGTGGTAGGGGTTGAACAGCAGCTACGTTAACAACAGCTGCTTACCTTCTCACTCACTCACTCACTCACTCACTCACTCACTCATGTCTGGATCCAGCCTGTGAGAAGCCCTGTGGTCAAGATCTGGCCTGAGCACCCAGTAAATCTGACACTCCTGGTGCATTTTGAAGCCCAGGTCAGTGGCTGGAGCTTTGAAGAATTTCCTTTAAAAGGGTTTTTATTTCTTGCAGTTTTTCAACAAATAAGGGATTCTCCTCAAAGGGGTATTACTATCTGGGAGCTTAGAAGCAGCAGCAGAGCAAACCATAAGGGGGAAAGGTGGGCATGTTTTCCTCCAGTCAAACTGGGCTGAAAGGGTGCTCCACATACGCATAGAAATAAACCCATCCTCTCTTTTTTTTTTTTTTTTCCTGATGATTGTATCAAGATGGGGTCATCAAGCTCAACCTTCTTTTATTGCTGCTTCTGTGGCGGGGGTTCCCAAATTTTGTTCTGTGAATTGACAAAACGTCCATTCATTTCACAACAGTTTTTAAAATGATGATCCATAAACCAAACAATTTTGGAAGCTGTGTTGTAGGGGGAAAGGAGAGATCAGAGCAGTGTGGGAGGGGGACAAGAGGGGGGCAGAGCTATGCCAGGAGGGCTTTGGGGCTTCAGCCCTATTTTCCCAAACCTCCAAATATATATTTCCATTTTTGTTCCACCCGTCAGAATGCAGCCTCTGAGATCAGGAGAAGTATTTGGGAATTAGCATGTTTTGTGTATGCCCTTAGAGCAGTGTTACATAATTAAAATAGGATGCATCTCTAGAGTGGCATTTTAAAATAGGATTTAGATTTCTAAAATGCTTCAATAGAAAAATCATTCAAGTTGGTTTTTACAAATGCTTGATTTGAATCAGTGATTTACTTTCATTTTAAAAAAAGTGATTTAAATTAGCTGAATTTAAATCTCTGGCCAGAAATAATATTTATTTTTATAACTGCACCTGGCATAGCTGGTTAAATGTTCAGATAGATTGTGAAGATACTCCTTGCCCTGATCTTAGATGGCAGTTGAAAAGCTATATTCCCCATTCACTCAAATCTTGGCTGACAGAGCAGTTCTTCAGGCACCCATCAGAAAGCTAGCTTGTGTCATTGAGTTCAGAGTATTATTTTGCCACTACAGATGTCATATATGATATGGAGTGGTTGTCTCAGGAAGATGTGTCCTTTAATGTTCATCATGAAATGATCTCTGGCATTTGTGTGCCAGGGTTTCCCTATGTTGAATCCAAAGATGAATCTATTTAGTTGTGAATACTGAGAGCTCTTTACTTGTCAACTACAAGAGAGGGAAAATTCATCAAAAGTAGAGTTTATCTAGATAGATTTCAGTCTGTTAGAAAGCAACATAAAGATACTTAATACCTTAATATCTTTGTCAATTTAGGCCACCAAATGCAGGGGGTACTGCCTCTGCTCCCAGAGCACAGAAGGCCATTGTGAATCATCCTAGTGCTGCCCTCATGGCATTAAGGAGGGGATCAAGAAACCTTGTCTTCAGAGATTTCACAGTAAGTAGGGCATGGCTTATGGATTTGAAGTTAATTATTAGTTAATTTGGGTTTTAATGTTTTTCTTCCTTTTTTAGGATGAAAAAGAGGGACCAATAACTAAACACATCCGATTAACAGCTGCCTTAATATTAAAAAATATTGGTAAATATTCAGAATGTGGTCGCAGGTGAGCATTTTGTGATTCTTCTTGTACCAAAACAAAACATGTTGCTATGTGAATGATTTTTATATTCCAAATAATAGGTGGGTTTATTTCATAATTTTCAAAACAATTTCCATATAAGGGTCTATTTTGAATTGGCTATACTATTATATGCTACCTCTGTGTTCTTAAAATATTGCATTGAGAGAGGAAGTCAAAAAGGTACAGGAAAACCAGGCATCTGTATAAATGTGTTTTGAAACCAATTTCACCTTAAAATATCTAATGTAAACCATCTCAAAAAGGATTGTAATCAGATAGAATAACAGAAAAGGCTACATACTTGATTGAAGTAGTTGGGGTTCTTTTTTAGCTTTTTCTTGTCTCCAACCTTGCAAGCTGGTTAGGAAGAGAGCTGTTCCCTGATGAACAAAATTCCTGTTATCTCAATAGATCAGGGGTGGGCAATTATTTGAGCCTTTGGGTCACATAGGCAGTTCTGCAGAGCTGCCGCAGGCTGGTCGGAGCCTTTCCTTGCCCCTGCAACAGCCTGGAGTCCATGCGCCCTGCAGCTGCACGGCACACAGCCCCAGCCTTGACCCTAGCCCACCCCATGCCTGCTCTGTACTCGCCCTGGCTGGAGCAGACCAGCAGAACCCACGCACGCTCACAGCCCCAATGCGCACACAGCCCCAACATGCACACGCGTGCACGCACGCTGTGTGCACAGGTTCCAGCTGGTCCAGAGCTAGTCTGCTCCACCGGCTTGAGTCCAGAGTGGGCTCAAGGTGAGCTGGCGTCAAGACTGTGCACGCAGGTCCTTGTCAGTACCACAGGACTGGGGCAGCAGCAGCCAGAAGGAGCTGCAGCTGCCACTTGGGCTGCCTAGAAAGACAGTCTGGCTGCAGAGCCACCCCAGCCCTGCTGTGTGCCCAGGGGGCAGTGGGATGCACTGTAGGCCAGATGGTGCCTGGGGCAGGCAGAACTGAGGGACCCACCACGGGCTAGACAGAGTCCCTCTGTGGGCTGGATCTGATCTACAAGCCATATTTTCCCCACCCCTGTAATAGATTATATATTGTAATAATAATGAAATGCTGTGTAGTTCTGTCACATGATTAAATTTGCCTAGATAGCCTACCAAAGTTCACTTATACTAGCATGTCAGAGCAGGAACATCAGAAGACCTATATCTCATAAGTTATATAGACAAAAAAAAATTACTTTAGGAATCAGGAGTGAAATTGGGTTGCTTTTATTACTATTAATATTAAAATTATTATTTTAAACGTATGTTACACCAGTTAATTAAAATGCTGTACAGTTCTTTATAATAAACTTTGCTGATCTCTGCCACATCCTTGGATGTGGCTGCTTGACCTGTCCCAAGGTGGGGTCCTATACTGCTTGGTTCCTCCAGCACCAGTAGTTTTATGATAGGGATGATAAATACAATCCAAGGGTTTCAGAAGTGACTGCAGAATGTGCCTGCTTTAGTTTTTTGGGAACCAAACCTGACCTACTACATGAAGACCTGTTGTAATGGTCTTGCTGTGTGTTCCCTATCCCACA